GTACGTATGTGGCGCTCGAGATCATTGAAATATATATGTACATACAAATAACGAATAGAAAAAAAAAAAGGCTATGGGAAGAATTTTAAAAGGCAATCTAGCAAGATTAGCAAACTCCAACATAAGATTTAGGAACCTAATAATTCTTCAGAACCTAATGCAAGATGTTAGTCCAATCATCGAGAACGCGGAACCAGCATGAAGCCCACCTCTGGCAAGCACGTGTAAAAGCTATAAAAGGTTTGCAACCAGTCTAGTAGCAGAATAGAGGAATACACTACGAGAGGGGCAAGGAACTGAACCTGACACTAGGGGAGGACAAGGTGGAACAATCACTACGTACCTAATCTTAAGAGGAATTTATAGGGCAGATTGGGACATTTAAGAGGATCAGGATCAAGGGAACGATAGAAAGCTGAAAATTCAGATAACCAGAGGGTTACAAGGAAGTTACAGGGTGGTTGAAAACTGGTAGACTTCTCATGAGAGAACGGTCGAGGCAAACTATGCACAGATTTTTAAAGTAGATACAAGACCCAAAAGGCCACATTGTTCAAAAAGAAGAAAGGCTTATGACATAGGACAAAAAAAAAATTCATAAAACGTAATGACGATAGTTACACAGCAACACTAACTAGGCAACTTGCGTAACTAGGTTAGCGCCTATCTGGGGTAAGGTAACAGCAACTACCCACTAGAAAAACTTTATTATCCAATATTAGTCTCTACAAAAAAGTAGTTGAACATGACTTGCTCTGTCAAACCACAAAAAAAGAAAAGATAAGCAGATTATATTAATCATTGCAAATGTCAAGTCAGAATAACTGTTAAAGCAAAATATGTCACCTCAAATATAAAACGTTAAGTCACCGAGACTGACAGAACATAATTAAGAAGTAGTAAGCGACGATATCATACCTGACGCTGAACCTGAGCAGAGACAGCAGCAACAGCCAGCAGCAGCAGGGCAGCACAAGCCACCAGAAAGCACACACACCTCACCATCCTGGCGTCCAGCTCACACTACCGTTCACTAGCGTTCACACTCACTTATATCACCTCGTCTACCATCAACCTCACCCACACACCTGGTGTGTAGGTTTCAAGTCTATCGACTACACAAAGGTCATTTAACGTTTTCACCAGCATTCAAGAATATTTTAATCCTTTAAATAGGGATTAAAGAATAATCTCTGCATATAAAAGATGGGAGATCTACACCTCTCTTATGTATATACCCTGGGATTCCAGGGATAAAAAAAAGTAAACTGTGTATATACACCGAGGAATACAACTCTCGGAGTATGTATCCCTCCACACCTGCCAATTTTTACATTTTAAATTGTTCACCTTATGAAAACCAATGAATATATTAATAATAATCGCTTATATAATTATCAATGGTCTGCCTTGATACTGGTGAAGTGTTCTAGATCCAAGGAATAGGAGATGCCCTTCCCTGAATGCCTTCTATTTTCCCGGCGCTGTGACCCTTACGTGTTTAGGGATCCACGTGAATACAGAAATAATAATTACTCAGATGGTGGAAGCACTTGGAAATCAAAAGTTGGGCAAATCGTCAATGCATTCGTTCAATACCCATGAAAAGGAAGATACCCAAAGACAGATAGAGTATCGTGTTTACCTGGAGTTTACCTGGAGAGAGTTCCGGGGGTCAACGCCCCCGCGGCCCGGTCTGTGACCAGGCCTCCTGGTGGATCAGAGCCTGATCAACCAGGCTGTTGCTGCTGGCTGCACGCAAACCAACGTACGAGCCACAGCCCGGCTGATCCGGAACCGACTTTAGGTGCTTGTCCAGTGCCAGCTTGAAGACTGCCAGGGGTCTGTTGGTAATCCCCCTTATGTGTGCTGGGAGGCAGTTGAACAGTCTCGGGCCCCTGACACTTATTGTATGATCTCTTAACGTGCTAGTGACACCCCTGCTTTTCATTGGGGGGATGGTGCATCGTCTGCCAAGTCTTTTGCTTTCGTAGTGAGTGATTTTCGTGTGCAAGTTCGGTACTAGTCCCTCTAGGATTTTCCAGGTGTATATAATCATGTATCTCTCCCACCTGCGTTCCAGGGAATACAGGTTTAGGAACCTCAAGCGCTCCCAATAATTGAGGTGTTTTATCTCCGTTATGCGCGCCGTGAAAGTTCTCTGTACATTTTCTAGGTCGGCAATTTCACCTGCCTTGAAAGGTGCTGTTAGTGTGCAGCAATATTCCAGCCTAGATAGAACAAGTGGCCTGAAGAGTGTCATCATGGGCTTGGCCTCCCTAGTTTTGAAGGTTCTCATTATCCATCCTGTCATTTTTCTAGCAGATGCGATTGATACAATGTTATGGTCCTTGAAGGTGAGATCCTCCGACATGATCACTCCCAGGTCTTTGACGTTGGTGTTTCGCTCTATTTTGTGGCCAGAATTTGTTTTGTACTCTGATGAAGATTTAATTTCCTCATGTTTACCATATCTGAGTAATTGAAATTTCTCATCGCTGAACTTCATATTGTTTTCTGCAGCCCACTGAAAGATTTGGTTGATGTCCGCCTGGAGCTTTGCAGTGTCTGCAATGGAAGACACTGTCATGCAGATTCGGGTGTCATCTGCAAAGGAAGACACGGTGTTGTGGCTGACATCCTTGTCTATGTCGGATATGAGGATGAGGAACAAGATGGGAGCGAGTACTGTGCCTTGTGGAACAGAGCTTGTCACCGTAGCTGCCTCGGACTTTACTCTGTTGACGACTACTCTCTGTGTTCTGTTAGTGAGGAAATTATAGATCCATCGACCGATTTTTCCTGTTATTCCTTTAGCACGCATTTTGTGCGCTATTACGCCATGGTCACACTTGTCGAAGGCTTTTGCAAAGTCTGTATATATTACATCTGCATTCTTTTTGTCTTCTAGTGCATTTAGGACCTTGTCGTAGTGATCCAATAGTTGAGACAGACAGGAGCGACCTGTTCTAAACCCATGTTGCCCTGGGTTGTGTAACTGATGGGTTTCTAGATGGGTGGTGATCTTGCTTCTTAGGACCCTTTCAAAGATTTATATGATATGGGATGTTAGTGCTATTGGTCTGTAGTTCTTTGCTGTTGCTTTACTGCCCCCTTTGTGGAGTGGGGCTATGTCTGTTGTTTTTAGTAACTGTGGGACGACCCCCGTGTCCATGCTCCCTCTCCATAGGATGGAAAAGGCTCTTGCAGTTCTTGATGAACACAGAGTTCCATGAGTCTGGCCCTGGGGCAGAGTGCATGGGCATGTCATTTATCGCCTGTTCGAAGTCATTTGGCGTCAGGATAACATCGGATAGGCTTGTGTTAATCAAATTTTGTGGCTCTCTCATAAAAAATTCATTTTGATCTTCGACTCTCAGTCTGGTTAGCGGCTTGCTAAAAACTGAGTCATATTGGGACTTGAGTAGCTCACTCATTTCCTTGCTGTCATCTGTGTAGGACCCATCTTGTTTAAGTAGGGGCCCAATACTGGACGTTGTTCTCGATTTTTATTTGGCATAGGAGAAGAAATACTTTGGGTTTCTTTCGATTTCATTTATGGCTTTTAGTTCTTCCCGCGATTCCTGACTCCTAAAGGATTCTTTTAGCTTAAGTTCGATGCTTGCTATTTCTCTGACCAGTGTCTCCCTACGCATTTCAGATATATTGACCTCTTTTAGCCGCTCTGTTATTCTTTTCCGTCGCCTGTAAAGGGAGCGCCTGTCTCTTTCTGTGCGTAGTTGCTGTGCGTGTGCGTAGTTGCTGTGTACAAATAGAATCCTAATGAATGTAAGAAATTTAAGGGAGCGTATTACAGCAGATAAAGTGTATGAGAGAACTGCTGTAAGTAATGTGCTAGTATAGACAAAGTTAATTAAAATCTATATACCTAAAGTGGGTACCCAATCAGCGGGCTGTTGTTCATACGTTGGACTACGTGCGGCCAGCAGTAACTGGTTGATAAGGCCCTGATCCACCGGGAGGCCTGGTCAAGAACCGGGCCGCGGGGGCGTTGACCCCCGGAACACCCTCCAGGTAGGTAGAATAAGCATATCTGTGACTACTGTTAAAACTGGATCACTTAAAACAAAGAATTAATTCAATATTTATTGGTTAAATGAATTACATTATTTAATGTCATCAGATAAACTATTACAAATTTTGCCTCTTACCCTCCCTCCCATACCTTGAAGCAGACGACGTACCCAGTGGTCGAAGTGAAAGTTCCGATACTGATCCATATTAGCCTAAAGCTTGTTTTAACTACCCCTCAAGGAAGGTTCCTTGATGTTGGTGAGGGGCTCTTGATTTAGGGAATTGGATCTGTGCTCCAGTTCCCCAAATTAAGCGTGAATGCCTTCCACATCCCCCCCAGGCGCTGTATAATCCTCCGGGTTTAGCGCTTCCCCCTTGATTGTAATAATAATAATAATTGTGTAAACTACCGCTTTTCTACTAGCCACAATTATCGTGCAAAACAAATTATATACTTATTAAAATTGTTAAACCACGCTTACTTTAAATTATGCCATCATCTCCAACACAGATTCTAAGAAAATTTTTACCATGCTGGCTGTTTTCAAAAAGGCGCGGGACAGGCACGTAAAATCAGTACCTGACCAGCCGGGCTCTGGTTCAGACTTCGGCTTGAGTGCGGCCAGCAGTAACAGCCTGGTTGATCAGGCCCTGATCCACCGCAAGGCCTGGTCACAGACCGGACCGCAGAGGCATGACCTCATGACCTTCGAAACCCAGGTATACTCCAGGCAGTGCCTCGAGCATCACCGTCTGCATGACGCAGACACACTACCCGCCAAGATCAAGCTAAGTACCATTATTTGAAAAGTTCTTGTGTGGGTCAAACAGTTTCTATCAGCTGCTAGCGAGATACTGGTTAGTACGTCACTCATTACGCTGAACAAAATTGCACTTTATGCAGGTAATAGCGCGATTAACACTTTCTTTAACTGCTCGAGTCTCTTATGTACTTCGTCACTAACCTTCACAAAATTCACTTTTGGTTCTTTGCACTTGAGAAATCTTGAGGCACGAAGGTGTTTGATTTATATGTCTGTGAAAAACATAAAAAAACAAAAAGGTACAATACCGTAACTGGAACAATACACAACCCTCACAAAGGAAAGAGAATTATTATTATAATCAAGGGGGAAGCGCTAAACCCGGAGGATTATACAGCGCCTGGGGGGGGGATGTGGAAGGCATTCAGGCTTAATTCGGGGAACTGGAGCACAGATCCAATTCCCTAAATCAAGAGCCCCTCACCAACATCAAGGAGCCTTCCTTGAGGGGAAAGGAAAGAGAAGCTTATGACGACGTTTTGGTCCGACTTCGACAATTTACAAGTCACACTGTGGTGAAGTGCTCTTGCTGCTTTATCCAAAACTTGTTTGGTATATATCTTTATCTTTTTTCGCATTTATCTCTACCTTGTCTGGTATTTATCATTATCTTGTCTGGTATTTATCTATACTTTGTTTGATGTCACGTGATGCATGTGTACAGAGAGGTATAAGAGTCTGCTGTTCCATTTGGATCAAGAAATAGCCGTCAAATCCAGTTTTCTGGATGGTTATGTACAAAGCGGGATGAACTTACCAGGAGCAGTAACTGTCGGAGGACAAGAATAGCCTGCTCAGTCGCACAGCGATAATTTTTTTTAGTTCAAGTTAGGCTGTGCATATAATTTATATATTCGCATGACTTACGAGTTACATATGTGCAGGACCTTATAATTGATATATGTGCTGGCCTTACAAGTTATACTGTGCCGGACTTCATATATATAATATATATATATATATATATATATATATATATATATATATATATATATATTATATATATATATATATATTATATATATATATATATATATATATATATATAATATATGCGACTTACAATTTGAATATGTGCGGGACTTAGATTATATTTGTGTGGGACTTACAATTAACATGTGTTATATATATATATATATTATATATATATATATATATATATATATATATATATATATGCTATTTTTATATTCTGAAGACCAATTAGAAAATAGCATATTAATGCGCTTGTGTGACGGCAACACTGAGCCGTATATTAACTTTGTCATTCAAGTGAAGCAAATCACGTCAGTCAGTACCCAGTAACATCTGGCAAGTGATTGTGCAATATTAATTTCTAGAGTTTTAATCACAATGACAAATGTAATTAAGAAATAAGTGGAATACAAGAAAATAGATTGTTAGCAATGCATGTACATACACGTGGGGGGGGGGGAAATAATTATTATTTTCATCTTCGCCACAGCAGCGCCCATGCTAGATTCGTAATTAACAATTCCCAGTTATAAAAAAAAACTATAGAAAAAATCACCATAAATCAAATTTGCTACATAGTGATGATGGGAAAGTTTGTTTTATTACATTTAGAGAACTAAGTTTTAAACATTAACTGGATGAACTTTAGACACAATAGAAAGTATACACATAAGTTGGTCATGCATGGGTCAGTATTACAGTGACACATGAGTGAGATATATACATATTTTGGTTATACATGGGATAGTTTAACACAGTGACACACGAGTAAGATTCACACATGTTGGTTATACACAACTTAGTTTAACACAGTAACACACGTGACGAATAAGATGCACATAATATGTTGGTCATAAACAGGCAAGGTGTACACACGGTGTTACAGTTGAGCTCATGGGCACTTGTCAACATCACTTATATATGTGATATATGGAAGGTTTGTATATATATGTTGGTTATACATGCTCACCTAACTTTCTAGATACATTATGTATATGTACATGGGGGATATTCTATCCTTTGTATTGACTTGATAAAGCTCTACGCAGGTCGAAACGCTGTCACAGTAGATCCTGCTCTATAACTGCCTCTGTCTTTAGCTCTTTAGTTTTTTATATTTTCCAAGGAGTCTTGTCAAAGAATTTTGAGCATATATTGTGAACGTGAATTCTATATTTTCCTCGCATTTCAGTGAGCTTTCTAAATAGCATTTTACCAGTATATAATCAATATTAATGAGGACATTCTGAAGTTGGGTTGAACGAATGTACGTGGATTTAAGACAGATTTTAAGAATTATTGTTAATGTTTCGATTTAATCAAATCAGGGAACGGGTGGGGATTGAATCCATGGCAAGCGAGTCCTAAAACTCACAGGCCAGTGCGTTAACCACTGGGCCAACTGGCTCTAATAAGATTCATCCAACTAGGTATGTTCCTATACACCAAAGAGAGATTAGCATGGGCCACCACTGTGACCACAAATGCAAGTTTTTGCAGATAAATCCCACACCCGCGTGGTTGTGGCGTACTCGTCGTGAGCAAGATGCCCTAATACTGAGTGAATGAGGAATTAGAGAGTCTGAATGAGGAGTCAACGCATGTCAGGTATATCTTTGGCAGTCACAGCTAATGAAGGTGTTAGTCATGTACAATGAGCAGCTGAGGGAACAACATAGAAATATTATTGTTGTGATCATAGGAATGAACTAAAGCCGAAGAGGTCATACAGTTCCTAGGGTCAGTTTAGGTTAAGTTACGTAAGATTCGTCAGGAAACAGGACAATTGGTTTCTGACGCTTTTGGTCATCTGACCGAGGTTTTCCACTGACTGATTAGTCCACCCTCTTAAAAACTGGACATCATTATTTGATAGTTCCTGGGAAATGAGAGACAATCAGGCTAGATCCAAAAGAGGAGTATAGTTTCAAAACCTTTAACCAAGAGCTTCTCACCGGCACCAAGAGACCTCCACTGATTATTAAATGGGGTATATATAAGAAAGAAAACTCCACATGCAACAAAAAGTGGAAGAATTGTAGTCTTTACATTTCGACCTCCAGCTGAGGTCCTCTTCAGCAGATTATAAAGGAATGAGGAGACTACGTATTAACAGTTAAGAAAGTGGGATATACATAAACATCATGATTTAGAATTCAAGTTGGGTGTGAGAGGTGGGTGATAGTGTTGATGCACCCACAACTGAAAGAGCTTAAACATTGTTGTTAAGTGTTATTTGGCGTAATATTGAATAAAACTATACATTATGTATAATATACATTTTTATGTATAATTTACATTGAATTATGGCCACCAATTTACAATGCATTTTGCATTTTAATTTATACTTTATCCATAAAGATTTACAATGTACTATGCATCTTAATTTCCATTTTATACCGATTTGTATTCGGCATAATAATTTGCATTGTATTATGCATACCAAATATGCAGTTTTTCCTGTAGCCATTGAGCGTAGTAATATCATGATGACATACATTACTCTTATTAACAAATTCATTATACTCTACTGACTGAATACATTATAACAACACACCCAGTAAGTCAAAATAAACAAAGGCGAGTGGTTCTTGGAGTTTGAGACGCCGTTGAGGTGTAACAGCTACGAAGCGACTCAGAGAGACTGACTAGCTGGATTTTAATTTTGGCAGTGGGAAATATAATGGCAGTATTAATACTGGGTGGGATCTGCACAACCAGGGGCTTCCCATGTGTAATCTGAAATCTCGTCCAGTTTTGTAAAAAGTATGTATTACGTGCAGATAAGGTATTATTATTATTATTATTAGGTATGCTGCGTGGATATCTTGAGGTTTAGTGGGTCATCACTAGTCCCTCGTCTTACGTCCCATTAGAAAAATAGCCAGAAGCTCAATTTGTTTCTTTGAGTCATACTGTCGTGGTGGGAAATTGTTACTGTGATTAAAAAATCAATTACAGTTTCTTCCACTGTTTTAGTTTTCAAATCCTGTCGTTAGCCTCTAAGGTTCAAGGGCACAACACTAATTGAACGTTGACACAATATTAGTCTAGTACAAGCTTGCATATACACATACTACAACACAGGATTGCAGGGCAGCTGAAAGTAACGCATACACAGGTTACAATGCTCACTACATAAATTACATAGCTGGTTGAGGCAACATAAACATAGGTCACAGGGCTGGTTGAAACAACATAAACACGGGTCACAGGACTGATTGAAAGAACATAAACACAGGTCACAGGGCTGGTTGAAACAACATAAAAAGGTCACAGGGGTAGTTGAAACAAAAACCCCACGGGGTCAAGGGCCGGGTTAAAACAAACACAGGTCACAAGGGGGTTGAAACAACAAAAACAAGGTCACGGAGGTTTAAAAACATAAATAGGTAAAGGGGGTGGCTGAAACAAAAACACAGGTCACAGGCTGGTTGAAAACCAAAACCCACAGGTACAGGACTGGTTGAAACACCTAAACACAGGTCCGGCTGGAGGAGTAAATTTAAAAACTAGTGAAGGGGCCCAGAGATGGTGGGGGTGGGAAAACACACATACAGGACATGGGACGGCCGGGGAAACATTACCCTGTAAAAAAGGCACATACCACTCATTATCATCTCATACATCACTACTTCATCATACCCGCACATTTCTCGGATTATCTTTCCCATACATCTTTTATTTTCATCATATGCACAAACCTCGGCATTATTTCCAATACTTGACATACCTCGGCATTTCTTCATCATACCTTTCAAACCCTTGGGCATTATCTTCATACCCTCATATCTCGGTATTATTTTTCATCATACCTTCACAACCCGGCTTTATTTTCAAACCTTCTTTCTCGGAATTATCTTCATCATACCTGCACATACCTCGGAAAAAAAAAATTTCCTGCGTGTATACACACCACCACAGCTTCAGTGAACTATATACACTGACAACAAAAGTACAATAAACACTTGTCAGTGACAAACACACAAACAGTGAAAATAAAACAACATGTAAGAGGGGTACTGTATATTTCGGCCCCCGGGGGCCCCTCTTCAACAGTTTTTGAAGAGTACCTCTGGGGGGGCCCAAATGACGGTATCCTCTTAACTTCCGCTTCAATTTTCGACTTGTCGGCTCGTTTGTGCTACCTATGGGATATATTTAGGGAAATGCATCACAAAAGACAATTTCAAGCAGCAAGACCTGAGGCATAATACAGAGGAAAGTGTACTGAAGC